CACATAAAATATATTTACCTTAACCATTTTTATATTTAGTTTTAACATAATATGGTTAAGGCAAATATAAAAATGGTTAAGGTAAATATATTTTATGTTTCATATATGGACTACCACATACATTGCTAAAAACAAACATATATTTCTTTCAGTGTATGTGTGCCATACTACGTGATGTTACTGTTTCAGTGTTCTTGTTTGTCTTAATTAAATATTTAATTTGCCTAATTTTTTTTAAGAATGAAATAAATTGCGTGCAAATAATATATGACTAATCCAGATATAAAATATATGTGTAGGGGGAGATTCTGCACTTATAAAGTCCCATATGGCGTAAAACCATTTATAAAAGTATAATAATGGTTATTAGAAGCATATGCAACGGGAAGATCCCGTATGGGCGAAACAATATATTGACTATTCCTATATTAGACATTCACCCTCGTTAATCCAGCGAGAAAAAATTATCATAATCGTTTTGAATTGTGTGAGAAATAGTCGCAATTCATGACAGTTTTATATTTATCGTTCTCAAAGCATTACCATTTAATTAAATTCATATTAATGAGAAATATTTTAATAAATTCCACTTTTTATTTATGAAATAAAAATAATTTTATTAAAAATATTTCTTTGTTTCGTGCATTTTTATTTCATTCCCAACGTTCCCAGTTAATGTATTTTTATTTCAAGAAATTTATCCACATGAAAAACGTTTCATCCGAACATTTTATAAAATAAATAAATAAATAAAATTGATATTTTAAACGTTACTTAATAATCTTAATATCTATTAAATATACAGGGTGTCCCAAACTATGAAATTGCAAAACAATTTTCTTTCAATAATAATTGTATAAAATTGTAATAAATTGTGTAAATGAATGTAAATAATTGTTTTGATAAAGTTTTTAATTATGGTATTATAACCTTAAAGGGTATGAAATGTTGGGGTTTGTATTATTGTTTATAATTTGGGCATAAAATATTTGCAAACTTGTGTTAAAATATGCAAATAAGTTTGGTTGTAATAAATTTGTAACAACCGAAGATTAATTAGGGCATGAATGTTTAGTTTTGGGAAGTTGCGGCAATGACTAAATTAATAAATCAATAAAATTCTCTGTCTCTCTCGGGGTTCCTAGTTTAGTTATCAAAATGTATATCCCGAAATTGCAATTGTTTGTTCTGTCGTCTAAAACTTAATTTTGCCTCGATTAAAAAAGCATCAGATTATATAAAGGTGTACCCATTAAAAAAGGTATTTTATTCATAGTGTTAAATGTACCGTTAAGCATTTTCCTGAGTTTGGATTCGTTCTTCTCTAATACCAAAGTCTGTAATGTAGAGAGAGCATTAATTTGTTCCTACCACCATTAAAACCACTACTACCTGAGCCTTTGGCCTTGGTACGATGCCCTTACAACATCTTAATTAGATAAATCTTCGGGTCACCTTCTATCTAGGTGATCTGATTTTTTTCAAATTCTTCATCTTTTAAAATATACCTACCTTAAAAATGCCCTTTTGTAAAAATTTAAATTAAATTGTTTAGATTTGCGAATTGTAAGCTGATTTCGGGTTCACTCATAATGTACTGTATGTATTGTTATTACCGCAATGAATCGTCCTGGTATAATGGGACTACATTTAATTACCCCGTTGTAAATTTATATTCATTATTAATGAACCGCAAAGTATTTAATTGTTTGTCACAAACAGTTCGCAATTTTGCGGTCAGCCATACATAAGCTAATTTACAGAAATCGGTACGATTCTCAACTTCCATTTTAAATATCTAGAAAACGAACAAATAGAATTTGAGTTTTTTTTGTTTGATTCCCAGTTTCAAATGATCACACTGAAAAAAGGTGTATTAGCGACAAGAAACAATATTTTAGCATAAAAGAGTATTTATTGCTCGAAGAAAAAAGTTCTTAGTGGAAGAAAGTTTCAACCAAGTGCAAAGTGTTTTTGTTCAAAAGCTATGAAAATTATTTATATTTACGCAATTCATTCAAGATACATCACAATTATCCCAATAGCATGTCAATTTTACAACAAAATCTGGTAGCTTCTGATACATGGGAGGGGATGCAAAACGCGCACACTGTTTGCGGCACACGTGTTTAGTACGTTTTGTATCATTGCAACTTGCAATTCGTCATTTTTGATGATTTTGTGATATAATATTATAATTCTATTATTGGTATTTATAATATACATTTTGCCAGTTGTGTTGTGTTGTGGAGTTGAAATCATTAAAAATATTTTTAAATAAATGAAATTTAATTAATTTGTTTTTGAAGGTAAGGTATTAATTTAAATATGTAATAAAAATTATATTTATTAGGGGTGTGCGAATATCGTTCAAATCGAATCGAATATTGATATTCGATTCGAAATTCGAATCAAATAATTTGAATTTTCGAATTATTCGAATTTCTACGAATAATTCGGAAAAAAATCGAATAATTTGAAAAATTTCGAATAATTCGAAAAATTTCGAATAATTCGAAAATTTTCAAATAATTCGCGAATTAATGAAATATCTCTGTATTTTCAATTGCTTCCATTTAAATTCCTTTAAATCGTGTATCGAAATATTCTATTTACGAATAATATACTTTTCGTTTAAAAATCAATTACCCAGAGAAAACAATTGCTCATTTTCAATATATGTTCATCTCCGTCGGTAACATAAAAAATCTAAATGGTAATAAGCAAAAGATATATTCTATTTGTTTTGTTCTTATTAATTATTAAATTTTGTTTGATAAAAATCTATAAGAAAAATGTTACTCATGTAATGTTTCAGTATCGTATTTCTTATTTTTAAACAAAAATTTTTAGCAAATTTTCAAATGTTGTATTTTTTGTAATACTGTATTTGCTTCTGTTATTTCATTCTCTTAAAAAAAAAACTATACTAATTGTTCTATTTGTGTAACTATAGTTACACAAATAGAAATAAAATATATATATTTCATGGTTTGAATAAAATGTATATTCGAAAAAATTTCGAATTATTCGTAAACTATCGAATCGAATAATTCAATAATTCGAATTATTCGATTCGAGTTCCGATTAGAATATTAATATTCGATTCGGAACGAATAATTCGTAAGTTCGAATTATTCGCACACCCCTAATATTTATGTTAGCTTATTGGTGTAAGTATAAAAAAACTTGCGCTTATGTTGATAATAACTTGATATTAAACCATTATGTCTTATTTTATTTAAATATTTTTTTGTAAACCTTTTTTTCAGTCAATCTTCTAGTTTTCAACGATGCCAATATTTAGGCTTGAACTCCCCTCACCACGAAGGTCCTCGATTTTAATTGTTAAATGCATGTTTTAATAATTAAAATCAAAAGGCCTATGAGGTGATGCGAATTTAAGCTTAAATACAAACAACGCTGGTAGTTTCAGTGAAGATCAGAAGCTATGAAATAAAGCAATACATACTATTGGACCAAGAGATATTTGCTCTAAAATCAAAATAAAATGTGGTTAGGTCAAATGTATATTCCTGACATAGAAATCAAATAATTTTTCGTCAGCCATTGTAGTTGGAGAATTTAGAGAATTTCAATTAAATGACGAAAATATTTCACCATTAATAAACATTGTATGAAGCGGTTTATTAATGGTGAAATACAGTAAAACTTGTAACTACGCATAGCTGCGGTTGGTTATATACCAAATAAAAGTCCAGGTTTTAATAAAAATATAAGTAAGTATTTTTTAACGAGCTTTCAATTTAACGTACAGATTTAAGCGTACAATTTTAAATTGGAAGTTTTATTTGGGGAAATATTTTTCACCTATTTCAAATGTCAAAATTATATATAACAACCATTTGTCTTTAATGTGTGTTCTTTTTATAGAATGTTCTGCTTCTAAACAAATAAACATTTTTACATGTACTTTTTTTAAAAATATTAAATTTTGGGACATGTTAATTTGATGAAAAAACTAATTTGAAATTTTAATTAAAACTACGTATAAACTAGATCGATATAGAATTAATAATAACGTCATCATATATGCACATATGCATTAAAAATGTAACATTATTTATTTATGTTCTTTGTTTTTCTGGTAATTGTCAATTTGTTTAACAATGTTAAATAGCTGATTTGCATATTATATTTGCATTCGCGATTTAATCTTTTTTTTGTTGGCTAATGCAGTAGAGTAATCCAAAAATCATTATAATTTAAAAATTGTAATACATATTTATATTTCGAATCAAAATGTTAAAGTTGGGAATATAAATTGGCTCATATAACCGCGACAATAATTGTCAATTTATTTTAACGCATTATTTAATATTCGTATATAATTTTTTGAATAACGAGATTAATACCAAAAAGGAGAATTTTACTGAAATATTGCTTTGGCGAGATAAAATTTAGCCATTGAAAAGTGCCAAATAATAAAATGGATGCGGCACAGTGATTCAATTTGACAACTCAAATTTTTATTTAAAAGTGAATTTTGTGACAAAATTCTTGTTAAGTTCACTTGGCTTGCAAAATCTCTATTACAGCTGAAGAATAATGTTAATTAAATAATTAATATATATTCGGTATTTTCAATGTATTGTATTTTTAAAAATCACCCAACAAGAAAATGTTATGATGCACTGTGCGTCAAAGACATTGGGCCATTGTAGTGCAGAAGACTCCTTTCGACAATGCGACGGCTAAACCCAATTGCACACCTCCATTGTTGGAGCAACTGGATCCATTTAAAGAGCCTTATAATTGAAGGGGATGCATCAATACAGTAACCATTGAATTTGCGCACAATTGTTCAATGTAAAATTTTACTCACTATATACAATCCAAGCCAAATACCACACAGCCAATTCGTTTTGGCCACTTAGCGTCAGCGATTTAATACAGTATTGGGCCACAATTTTTTATTCCAATACATAATTTAAATAGTTATTTCGGCGCGATTAAAACAATTAAGTTTCGTAACTTACCTAAGCTTTTAGCCGTGCCCTCTGATATAACGACGAAGGAGAAGAGGAGAAGCAGCAGACCGGGCTGGACCCTCCCATGCCAGGCCATAGCACCGTCACCCTGAAAAAAAAAAATGTTTAAAATTGATTTTTTAAGGTATTTTTAATGCCATATTTGCAATTTTAATGGGCTTTGCCATTTTAAGGCTAAAATGTAGCTTTAAAGGCTTCTTGTCATTTTAAGGTCATAATGACCTTAATTGAAAGTGGCCTTTAAAACTAAATTTAAGCCTTAACATCGCAAAGCTTATTAAAGTTGAAAATATTGACATTAAAAACTTTGGAATCGTAATTTTAATAATGTAGTTTTAACCGAATTCATTATTTAGAAGCTTCAAAACGCCAATAAATAAGAACAACTTGCTAAAGCACTTTGAAGATATAATGCGAGACCAATTTATAACATTATTTTAAATATATCTAAATGCATTTTTCTTATACCTGTCCCGTCTAGTTCTAAGAAGGTTTTTGCCTTATCGGAAATGTCTACCGTTGTACTTTTAAACGAATCCTGATAAACCCACAAAAATGTCCAATCGAAAATGATTTTTATGAATGCACTTAAAAACACAAAATGCATTAAATAAATACTGGTTAACAAACACAAACACATTAGTCTCTAATCTAATGTAAATAGTTCGATAAAATTAATAATATTTTAAACCAAGTTTCAAAGTTGCTGATTTACGAAATAGGATTCAATGGTATATTATTACATTTTTTATTTTTGTTACAAAAAACTTCTTTAACATTTTACAAAGATTTTAGGTTGTTTTTTACAGATGGTTTTATAAATATTTATTGTTTTTAAAGTTGACAAAACATTGAAACAACATTTTTGTTATGTATTGATTGGTATTTTACATTTCAAATAAAACAAAGCGAACGATCATGAAAATGAATAAAACATTTCACAAACAAATATAATTGGGTTAAACGTAAAAAACATTAAAAATATTTACCCTTACGTACACAAAACTTGTTCCATTTGGTTATTGTATTATTATTGATAATTCATTAATTTTTTAAGGAGTGTCGATTACCTTAATAAGGAATACAATTTGAATCAAATTTAGGCGTTACACCTTTTTATATAAAAAAGTTATTAAAAATGCTATGTTAATTTTTTCAGATTTGCATATACGGCTAATTTTTCTCGTGAACAATTATTAAGATAAGTCTGGGTAGGTATAAAAAATTAGTCTACCTTATGGGTAGTTATCACGCTTGAGCATTATGCTATAACACGTAGAAATTTTAGAATTATTAATAGACTTTATATTGTTTTTGAAATTTGTAAAATCCTTTGTTTTTTATGATTTAAAATACACATTCCAATTAAATTAGAGAAAGAATAATAAATAATAAATGTACATATATGTATTTTTATTATCGAATAATACCTAAATGTTTTATTATCAAAAAACACTATAATTATTTTATAAAACAAAATTTATCGACTTGTTTTGAATTTACATATGTTTGTTTGTATTAAACAATACAAGAAAACAGAAATATTATGTTTAACTCTTGACGTTAAAAGTTGAAAGTTGCCATAATCCTATTATTTATTAAAATTACCGAATAATATGAAAAGCTTAAAAATAAATATTAAATAAAAAAACTGTTCTATAGCTCACCTATTATAATAGTATAACCTCGATATTTTTAAATATATAAAAACTATGTCAATCAAATATGTATTTAGCGATTAAACACAGGCTTACTAATTTTACAATGAAACAGCTTTTGAAATTTAAATGTTAATTTTAGCACTAATAAATATTAAACATGCAATGGTCAGGTTTTCCAACAAACTATATTGCATTGAAATTTTAGATAGATAATGGCATCACTCATTTCTGAGTCATTTTTATGATAATAAAAGCTAAACAAATCATGAGAATTAAAAAGTTAAAAATCGCTATTTTTAGACCTGTTTATTTTAGGTAAAATTGTTATTATAATTTATTTTTTACTCAAGTAAATTCTATTTACCCATTAAAATAGGACGTATCAAACCCTATATGAATGAACGATACATTCATTAAACATACACACATAAATCTAACTTGACATTGTTTACTTTAATACTTTCAATCCTGAGATTTTTTTAAATCTATATAAAAAAATCACTTTTGTGACTAGATTATTTTTACCGTTCCCGAGATATTAAAGCTGAACGCTATGCTTATTTTGTAAATTAAAAAAAATTTAAAATTTTGGGAATTTTTAATACATTAAAATACAAATTTTTATTTTTTCTCAATTTTTTTGATTTTGAACCACTGTGCGAATTTGTCCTCCCATTTTAAAATTTATCGTACTGTGCGAATTACATGTGAAAATTATAGAGTTATTAATAGACTTAAAATGCTATTATTAGAAAAAAATCAACACCTCGTTAGGTCAACAACTTTATATTGTTTCTGAACTATACAAAATGGCGAATTGAAAATGCACTGCTTTTTATATAGGAGCAAAGTGGCAGAACTTTTAAAAAAAGTCTATCTTATCTGCACAAACCTATTTGGCTTTTGCATTAGCAAATTTACAATTTAAATACGCTGGTTTAGCTAAATAACAAAAAAAGTTGAGAAAAACAACATCCAAAAGGGTGGTTTGAATTTATGTAATATCCAGAGTAACTGAAAATGACATTTCAGTACTTAAACGTAAAATATATCGCGTTGCCTTTTGCTAAATTAAAATATTTATTAAATTTAAACAACGAAAAGGTAGAATGGAATAATTATTGTACATTCATCCACTGAATCAAATGGACTTTTTTTCGTAATAAATCAAGGACATTACAAGTACGTAACAACATAATCAAATAAACACATGTTATGTATGGTGGGGTGCGTATTAAAGAGAAGAAGAAGCAATGTTTTTTATCGCTTTCATCGGACCCCATTTACTAATAATTCTAAATTTATAGCTGATGACGTGGGCTAGATAAGAACAGATGAACACTATCGTTCTACACGGGCCGTGCGACAACAAAAAATAATAGAAAGGATTTTTGAATCAATAAAGGCAGTTAACAAAATTGTTTGCAACCCTTATTTCGGTTCACTTTGGGCGCACAGAGGGTCAGTTGAAATTTTTAACAACTGTTGGTGGTGGCAAAATTACAGATTAAATTTTTACAATTTTGTACACATACCAAAACTATCTTATCTGTAGTTTTGCCTTCACCAATAGTTTTGGCAAAAACGACGGAAGTATCATACCAAAAGCAGAAGCGAAACTGATGGCAATAGTGAATTTTTGCGGATGCGGAAGCGAAACAGAAGGCGATGCAGGATAACAAAACAGGTTTGATATACAAATGCACAGATGCAGAAGCGAATGTGAAAAGGTGTGCTGAACTTCCGCGGTTGCGGAAGCAGAAGCGGAGGTTTGTTGCAACACTAATCAACACTGAATTCCAAATGTTAAAATCATTTTTGAATCTTCGTATCATTGTGCGCTGATAATTTGTTTCCCCCTTTTATGTTGTAAGCAGCATGCATGAGTGTAATAATTATTATTGTGCTGTGCACCCCCTCCAGGCAAAATTTCACACCACCAGATTATTATTTATAAGCGAGAGCGCAGCCTAACAAAACCAGGAGGGTAAACTTAAATTAATAACTACCCGATGGTAATAGCTATATACAGTGTGATCACCCTGTATAATAAATAAACCAGCTAAAAATTTTTTTAACACTCCTTGTGGAAAATCACGCATTGCACATTTGACATTTGCGGAAAAGAGGGTCATCATCATCATTGGCCAAAATATCGTAACACACGATTCTGAGAGTATATTAAGCCTAATTACATTCAATGAATTTTTGTAATGCAGTTGCATTATTAACTGTTCATGAAATACCTTGTGTGCGGCGTTATTTGATGAATTCGCATCGTCTGCGCATGCGTGAATTCGCGAAATGCCACCAAAGGCGGTCGGCAATTTAGCCCATGCAAAAAGTGACCACCACATGTTTCACAATATTTTTTACTTAATTTTGATTTTTTATACATTTTGTAATTTAAAACATTTCTGTCGGAACCGAATTTGAATTGCGTTTACCTTACCCAAAATATTTATTAAAAAAATTGCTTGTGACGTCACAATACCTCGGGAACGGTAAATGCCATTTCAATTCGGTTTCGACAGAAATTTTCCACTTAAATTGCAAAATGTATAAATTTACAAAATAAAAAAGTTCCAAGTTGTAACAATAAAAGTATTTAAATTGTACAAATAAGTAAAATAAACTTTCGGCTATTGTAGCGTGCATTAAAGTTAAATCTTTTTGAACTATTTTTGTTCCGAAATTAGTATTGCCAAGATGGTTCGAATTTCTATAGGAGCTGACAGTAGAATTTATTGTACATCTTTGTCAAAGTTTAACTCGCTTTTGGGATGTTTGAAAGGTCGATTTAAAATTTCTTTGAGAAAACTTTTTTGAATATTAACATTGAATTAAAGCTTTTCAAGTAATTTTTTTTATTCTTGCGCTAACAAGTCGAAACAATGGCTGGCAAATGTAAATTACGAGAAGAATTTATTTTACTTTTAAGAATTAGTTTATTCTTACCACATGGGTCCTAAAATGCTTCCTAAGGGAGCTACCAACCTTAAAAACAAAAAAATAAATGTTAAAAAAAATTAATTTAACAAGTTCATTTAATTTGTGTTTGACTGGATAATTTTTGTGACTTAAATAAAAAAATTGCTGTGTCGAGTTTTGACGACAATAAAGTTTACCTAATACAAAAATAAATACAATTTATAGACGCTAAACATATACAGTGCTAGACAAAAACCATTGTTTTAGTATTTGAATAAATCATGTTTTTATTAGCTTAATTTAGCACTTAAATATATAAATAGCCTTATTCAAGAGTGTATTAGCTGATTAGCCCCAACCCCATTTTTATTAAAATACCGGTCTTTTATAGTAGAGGTCCATAAAAATAAATAACAGTAATTTGTTGGATCGATGTTTTTCATTGGTCAATATACAAAGACAATGTCTACGAAAAATGGCATCATTTGTACCTACATAGAATAAATTCGTCGGGGATCGATAAAGATTCTTTTTGCAATTATTCCCCCCTGGGTTTTTGGGGGGTAAGTTTAAAAATTATTTTTCCCTGGCTTGTAGTATAGCGAAGTATAGCGAAGGAGGGGAACATACCTTTGATACATCAAGATCGGTATTGTGATTAATATTCGCCAGACATGCAATCTGATTTGTGTAAATTGGCAACACTGTTTATACCGTGTACAAACATGAATATTACCACACCACCGCGTGGCCTCTAAAACACGTTGCCAATTCTTGCTGTCATTATACAGGGCGAATCAAGTCACCTAAGAATTTGTAATGATACCTCGGGATAAAGGGGGGAACTTTTACAATTACCACACTGAAAAAAAGGTGCCCTTAAACTAAAGTAGTCAACTCTCTTGATAAAAATTATTAGCGGCAAGAAACAATATTTTAGCATAAAAAAATATTTATTGCTTAAAGAAAAAAGTTCTTAGTGGAAGAAGAATAGTTCTCTTGAAAACAAATAAAATATTTCTTCTTTCAAGCAAGTGCAAAGTGTTTTTGTTCAAAAGCTATGAAAATTATTTATATTTTACAACAAAATCTGGTAGCTTCTGATACATGGGAGGGGATGCAAAACGCGCAAACCTTTTGCGGCACACGTATTTAGTACGTTTTGTATCATTGCAACTTGCAATTCGCCATTTTCTAGGGTCAGTGATATAATATTATAATTCTATTAATAGTATATTATGTATCAAGTTTTATAAACGCCATTTTAGTTACGAGTTTAATTAAGCACGAGCGAAGCTTGCGAGCGAGTGTTTAATAAAAACGAGTGTCTAGAGAAGTTTATAAACGAGTATACTATACTTTATCTACGACGAACACAAAACAGAATTTAAAGCCAATTTTATTTGTTTAAATGACATCTGTCAACTGTTACCCGAATTTAACCTCACTTTTTCCCAATTTATAATAAAGCTAACTTCAGTGGCCAAATAGCTTTTAAATTAAGCTAAAGGCCATTACCCCTGAACACAGTTATCTGTGTTCAGATTTAAGAAGAAGAAGAAGAAGCTAACTTCAGCCCGTGACGTAAAATGTCGAAAAGCCACTGTTGTTAACTTCAGCCCGTCAATAAAACGGCATAAAGTGACAGCTCGTCAATGTAGGAGTAGATAAAGATATTTATATTATACATTTTGCCGGTTGTGTTGTGTTGTATGTAGTTTTACAGTAGAGTTGGAATCATTAAAACTCTTTTTATATTAATGAAATTGAATTAATTTGTTTAATGTTTTTGAAGGTAAGGTAGATATTAATTAAAATATGTATGTTTAAATTTTATGTTAAATCATATTTATGTTACTTTATTATTGTTTGCGCTTTTGTTGATATCAAACAATAAATGTCTTATTTAATTTAAATATTTTTTGTAAACCTTTGTTTCAGTCAATCTTCTAGGCTTGAACTCCCCTCACTACGAAGGTCCTTGATTTTAATTGTTAAATGCATGTTTCAATAATTAAAATCAAAAGGCATATGTGATGAGGGGAATTCAAGCTTAAATACTAACAACGCTGGTAGTATCAGTGAAGATCAGAAGATTTTGAATAAAGCAATACATACAGGGGCGGATGGGCATGATTCAAGCGGTCCGGGACAATTTTTCTAAAAGCGGCCCACCTTGTTTTTTTACAACACCTTCCGCCAAATCCTTAAGTATTTGCCTATAGGCAACAAATTTTTGTTTGTAAAGTTCTCAATCGGTAATTATTTTTTTTAACATGGTGACATAATTATTACAGAATATGAAAAAAAAATCTCATGTGATCAGCACAAGTTCGTAAATATTTGGGATTTTGTTGCACGGGGTGCGCGAGAATGAGGGGTGTTCAAACCCCCCTCAGGAGGGTTTAAAACTATAATTTTCACCTAAAATACTGAAAAATTATTTATAAATATACCTATATTTTTTTAATTTCATAAATCTCATGAAGCTACAAATGGCAAAATTGACCCCCTTTCCCTTTCTTATCGAACCCGCTACCCCCTTACTTATTTTTTCCGATTCTTTTTTTGGACTTAATCTGACAAAAAAAAATTTCGATTTATTTTGTCACCTGACTTTCTCCCTCCATTTTCAAACAAACAAACTAAAATTTTACAAAATTTTTGTTTAGAACGCAGTTTCTGGATGATACTCGTATGTAAAATCACACAAAAATCTACCAACTCTTACTAATGTTCATTTTACTAAAAACTGTACCAAAATTATGTTAAAATTCATTTTTGACCCTTTTATGATCTTATGAAACACAAACTAGTATAAACCAGGCCCGTGCACACGGGGGTTTTGGGTGTTTAGGACGGTTTTGAATAGACTTTAGACGTTCTTATGTGACAAAAAACAAATACCCGTTACATTTTTAAAATATGTATTTAAAATTTGTAATTCGTAAAAAAATTAAATAAAAAAACCAATATAAATCACGAAGTTTTATGTGAAATTATAAGGGGTGAAATTTTCATAAGCAGTTAGGTGTTGTATTTTTATAATTTTTTTGGGCCAGTCTAGATGATCATTCGGCCAATCTGTCCCGCCGGAGCCCATCTGCCCCTGAATACATACTATTGGGCCAAGATCAAAATCAAAATAAAATGTGGTTAGGTCAATAGTATATGCTTTTGTAGCAAGACAAATTTTCTTTCTTAAAAAGTTCCTAAACTTTTCAATTAAGAGATGCAGTTTTCTTGTTAAAATCCCATTTTTTGCGATAAAAAACGTTTTCTTCATTTAAAAGAGAAATATCTTCCGAAGAAATATGTTTGGTTCTTGTAACAAGAAATCGCTTGTTCTTGATTTAAGCTAATATTGTAATATCCTTAAACGAATAGATAAATCTCTCCCTTCAAAAAATTATGTAAAGATAGTTTCTGGTTTAGATTAAGAAACATACCTCTTGGCCCTATTCAAAAGCGCAAATCTTTTTAATCAATAAGATTTTCATTTCTTTTAAGAGATTATTTTTTTCAGTGTACGGCGAAATCAAAATGTCAATACAAACGTTCATATAATCTTAAAAAATTTTGTCCGGTACTGTATAATTTTGTCCGGTTCTGTATAAACTTTTGTTGTTCTTAGATAAGTCGATGTATTGACCAAAGTGTTTTTAAAATTTCAGATAAAAGCTATAAAAATGCCTATACACTTATTTTTGCTTAAGCTAAGGTATGTTAAAAGTTCTCATAATCTAAAATATTTCCTTTTATAAAATTCTGTTTTTATCTTTATACCTACATTATATTAATACTTTGATGGGCTAAACAAGTTATTTAATAGAATAAATGTCTGCAATTGGCGATTTTTCTGGTATTGATTTCAAATATGCAAAGATGGCGAAAATTATGAAAGCATAATTTTTTGTTCGAGAAAAACTTATAAGCCTCGTTTTAAAATCAGTTGTTATTATTTTATATCGCACTTTTTTCCTTTTATTCTGTGACCTGTAAAATCGTTGATATACAGGGTGTTTTTTATCACGACGCTTTTCCGAAAACTAACGGTTATTTAAGTGTAAAGGCGTGGCGAATAGTTAATAACAATAAAAGATGCGAAAGGATCAATAAGTATAAAACTAAAGAAGGCAACAATTTAATATTTTACGGTTTTTTTATGTTCGTTACTTGGTGGTATATAACAAAATGGATGCGTCATATGATGGTCAAAAAGCCATTAACTTAAGTGAGTATGCCCAAAAAGTAATGGGACTATAAATAAGATTTATTTTTACTTTTTTAGTTTATCGGGTTGTCAATTATTTTGTCACAGTGTGTAGAGTCAAGGGGGCCAATACGACGCAATTATTCAGGATAAATTCAATTATAACGGATTATCATATTTTATTACGGGATAACGTATTATTATTAACAGATGTGATTCATTGAATAAAATAATTGTATTTTACTTTGTTAATAGAAATAATGGGAGTATTTATAAAACTGTTAATGATTTTAGTTAGTAGTATTTCCCAAAGAACAGGTTTTGGTAAAATGTTTGCGTTACTTCATCTGTCAAATAGAATTTATTGAAAATTTCAGATTTAATCAAACCCGAAACAAACAAATAAGTGATAAAATCGCAAGGTGCCTGAACACAGATTTTAATGAAAATACACTGATTGTCCTCTTCGGGCAAACAAAATAAGGGAAATTAATATTTTTTATGTAGGTTTTACTGCTCTTCTTCAGAATTGGACAAAATCAAGACTTTTATAAAAAAAAAAGTAAAAAAAGTCGGACTTTTTTAATATTAACTCAAAAATTGGGGATATAACCGATTCCGATATTCAACCGATATATTTTAAGTGGAAAACATTTTCTGGTAGTATCAAAAGTAATGACACACAAATTTGTAATAAATTTCGGGCAATTATAGAAATGGCTTTTCACGTTTTTTGATAGATATCGAGTCCAAAAGCTTTTATCTCAAATATCTTGATCATAACATAAAACAATAATCAGCGAACGTACCTATAATTAGTGATGATTAAAACTAATTTCTTTTATATTTGATACCGCTATTAACGTAAGCAATGAGTCATTTAATATAATTGTATCTTCATTTATTACCGCAGAAACCTAAGAATTGGGTAGTGAAGATACGTTTTTAAAACCGCACAAATCCGATAAATAAAATTGTATATTTATGTATATGTGAGTAACGAAAAAGTACACAATCCACAAAAACAATGTTAATATTAATGCATGTAGAAAAAGACACATGTTTGAGTATACAGATGTCTGAACTTTCTCTTTTTTAAGCTTTAAACTTTCTATGAAAAAAAACTTCATTCACATTCAAAAGAAACACGGGACTTTTTTATTAAACTTAACTTAGTAGCATTGCTACTGGGAGTATAATATTATATATTTAAGTTATTTTTGAGGACTTCTAATGGGAAATATAAATTTTGGAATAAATAAGACTTAAAAACCAATTACAAAGGCTTCAGTTAATTTAATTGATGTTGATCTGGGACTTTTTATCAGAACTATGAGAGGCTTCTATTTATTAAAATAAATGAAAACTTAATTTCAGGAGTGTGACTGAGGAAACTATGGTTTTGCATCTTCTCTCCCTTCAAAGTGGATTGATAAACTTTGTTTCAGTTCTCCCACCCCCACAATATTAATTGGAAATAAGGCTTTAACCCTCTTAATCGATTAAGGGTCGATTCACATAGGTGGAAGGAATAGAGTGTGAATCGGCGTATGTAAACAGTATTTTGTCCGTTGGCAAACTGATTAAATACGAATATATAGCAAAAATGTTAAGTTTAAACATCGATTTTCACCCCTAAATTTATACAATTATTTGAAAATTCTCAGCACGGAGGCAAGGGGAGGCAATTGACCGAAAATAATGTCTTTTTCAATACCGCAGCAGAGCAGCTACAGCAGCCCAGCAGATAAGACCTGAAGATGGTACATGAGATTGTACCGAAACGTCAGACATACGGTTCTTTTAAGAACCAAAAACCGACAACACGGAGCAGATCCCGGAAAACCATTATTACATATAACGCCCGTGGAAACCTAAAGCAGAATATATATATATATATATATATATATACATATGTATTGGTGGTTTTCCGAGATCTGCTCCGTGTTGTCGGTTTTTGGTTCTTAAAAGAACCGTATGTCTGACGACGTTTCGGTACAATCTCATGTACCATCTTCAGGTCTTATCTGATGGGCTGCTGTTGCTGCTCTGCTGCGAGTTAGAGCGAAACATATATCTATATATATATATTGATGGTTTTCCGGAATCTGCTCAGTGTTGTCGGTATGTATATATACATAACGACGTTTTAAGCTTGTCTTAAAAAAACTGTATAGGTACCTATCTAATTTTCATTAGGAAATAGATTAATATATTATTCAGAAACTTGCTTTTTATAGTTAATTAGTCCACTAAGAGTTCCCGATGCAAAATTATTAAATAAAAGAACAAGAAAAAGTGCTTAAGTAGGTGCATTAAGGGACGCAAATTAAAAAGCACTAAGAGACGGAGAGTCATGTACTTGTTTTATTTTATTTTTCAGGTAATATGTATGTATACACGGTGGGTCAGAAATCACCCGAAAATTTTACATAAATAAATATCAGATCCGTCGTATGTTCTGTTCTCGTATTCAGCAGGTATTTTTTTTCGTATTTCCTTTACTTGGAGTACTGCATTCCATACAAGATACGCTTTATTTTGCCGAATGTCAAGTTGGTAACTGTGTAGTTGTCAACCTAATTTTCATTAAATTTACATATACAATGCCTTATTTTTTATGACCAAACTTGTTCTGTGGATAACTTAAGACAAGAACAACAAAATCAGAATAACCGATGATGCTTTTTTACTTCTTATACAAAGTTCTCTTAAACATTAAGTTTTTGACAGAATGTTTCCCATGATACCTTATTTAAACCCAGCTTAAACAAAAAAAAGTATGGGATACATTTAGATAGTGCGGTAGTTTTTTAAACCGTCTTTTATAAAGAAGCACAGGTGCCGTAGTTTTTCAAGTAAACCTTTGGAATTTCTTTAATTATGTTTAAAACGCATACAAAAATAAGCCAGATTGGCTTTCTAAACATGTTTTATACCTTAATGCATTGTTGTCAGATGTACTAGGTACCTACTACTAATAATATTACTTGCTTTAACCATCTGTGTTTTAATATTATATTGTTGATTAACTCCTAGTATATTTCTGAATAACAATCATATTTATATTTATAAGTTGTGCGTTAATATTATTATTAGTATTTAAGCTATGAATGAATAAAACGTGTTTACTACAAACTACAACAAACTAAGCTAAATATTTACTAGAAAACCAGTAAAACTTACTTTTATAAACATTATAATCCATTATAGTGAAATTGAATCACTAGACACAGACGTATGCCAAAAAAAACGAAAATAAATTAAACAATCACCACACACACATCACGAAGTAAAAAGCTTGATAGTCATAATAAAATAAGAAATGACACTTTTGAGAAAATCAAAACCGATCCACAAAAACGAGAATTAATATTGAGATCTTGTTATTGTTTATTTTTTTTCTGAACGCGATTCCCCTAAAAAATACAACGCAAACAGTTCACTTGTCTTAAATGCTAAAGGCATCCAACCGGCTCAAACGGCAAGAATAAAGTAAATTGTGGATGTGCGCCAGAGCGCCACCAGCGGCCGGAATTTCAACCAACACTACCTGCATGGCAATGCTCTGCTGTGTCAATTATTTTTGAATTTTTCAAATCACACATTTTACTCTCCCACAATAAAATAATACGATGGTTGACTCGTAAAGTATCGCAAAATGTATTGTTTTTAATACACTCTGTATAAAAACTTAAAAAATCCCGCGAGGTGGCCAATTTACAAAGGGCAAAGACCTTAGCGCCAAAAAAATTTAAACTCAACTTTAAACTTAAATTAAAACACCAAAATCCATATACCTACCTAGGTCATCATTAAAAAATAAAATCTACATATGTAATTTCTCTATATGTACATACCTACACATCTAAATTAAATTCCACACAAAAAAGATCAAAATATAAATCAAAATAATATTCAATATAAATTCCATTTTTTTCTGATTTTATATAGGATAGGAATCAATAAAATAAGCTTATAAATTGTCATTTGTATTATAGATGTCGCCCTCGATATTCTCAAAATGGCGCTCCCATAAGGTTTAAGTTTATTTTCGTTCTGTATAACACCAAAATATTTTTATACGTTATAGGTAGGTACCTAAATATGTATAAAAGTTCTTTCTATTTATTTACTATTAAAAACCCATGTAAAATGCTTTTTAACTTTTTTACTGTAAATATAAAACTTAAAAATATTTAAATTATTTTCTTGTCCATGTTCATTAAAGGATTACTATTACTGTCGCCATCTTGTGAGGAGTGGCGTAAATAACTGTAGACAACTGATTTCCTATTTTAAACTTCCGTCACTACTCGAAACATGGCGCTGTTTAAAATACCATTAACAATTTCTTAAAAATCAATTTCAATCAACAATTGAGAATTATTTTTGTTCCAAATATTGAAAAAAAATTAAAAATCGTCAGTTCGACAAATTTTGCTTAATTCTCATTTCTTATCAATCCTCATCCGATTTTGTACGAATGATAACCAAGATAATAAAAAAGTAAAAATTAGCCACAATCTTAAAATAAATTATCCACATGCTTCCAGTAGGTATATCTCTGGTAAAATAATACATTCGTGTGGAAGTATGTAAAATTATCTTTATTCTACACCCTATTTTGGAGTACCTAATACTACCTATATGGTAGAATACATTTTTTTTAAACACTGAATTTTTATGGCAATTAGAAAACAAACAGTTTTCTCTTGAGGTACAACCACAGACCTGGTCTATGGGTACAACCAGGGTTCTTCCACCCTGGGTACAACTAAGAACTAATAGCAAAACTTATTGTTTTACCTCCAAATAATAGATGGCGCCAAAATACAAATTTGATGTGATTTGTTTAACAATAATACTTTGTTTATGTAATGTAAACAATGTTTCTTTAACATTTTTATGTTGTTTTTTGTACACATTACGCTTGAAAATTATGTCAATAAGCTTATTGATAATTTCACTAAATTTGTTTGTAATTTTATACGTGTTAATAAATTTGATTTAATGTTAATTTTTGGGTATTGATTATTTTATTATAATGTAGGTATATTTACAATAATGTATAATTTTTATGAAAAATTATAAGATTTCACAAAATAATGATTTAAAAGTAACGGTTATAACGTTCAGTGAAGGTAATGGTTATAACGTGTTCTTGGATTCGAATTTATGTAGTTTACTGTAAGTCCTGATATTAACAAATAAATAAAAACATAACAATATAGGTATAACAATTTTCATGCGTATTAATTAACGCATGAAAATTGTTGTTCTGTTTTTATTTATTTGTCAGGGCTTACAATAAACTTTTTAGCAAAATGTTTTTTTAATAATTTTTGGATATAATATTTAATAGTTACCTACATAATATGTGTGTAACAATATTGTTTAATATGTGTGTAACAATATTGTTTAATATCCATATTTTTATTTAATTTAATTTTTTGGGGTTGTTGGATAAAAAGTCAAAAATATAAATAGTATAGAATTTATTTCATAAGTTAAAAAATATTCTTTTATATACAACATTGATATATCACTTTATTTTTACATAGTATTAGAATTACTTGGGAATTAGTCTTACATCAGTCTGTGTAAAAGATTCGAACAAATCACAATTTTTATTGGTTAAAAAATCAAAAATTAAAATTAATAAAAAATTCCCAAACATTTTAAGAACAGAAATACTGTAACTAGACCCTAGATTTAATAATTAAAATGAACATAAATATTTGATTGTGCATTAAACTTGGGGGGTTGTATGCACAAACAACATCACATTGTTATTGCGTAAAAATTGCACATAAAATAAAATAAAAAAAATGGAAATTTTTGGCGGCTTAGCATCATTGCAAACTGCTCTGTACATTCTTAATGCCGAGCTCTTATATAACTCTTATATACAATATTTAATACAGAAAGACTTGGTCTTTATTCAGGGCCAATGTGGCCCAACTTTGTACAGCAATAATAAAATCATAAGATTTTATTCACTCACACTCACACACATATTTGTACTGATTTTTGGTTGATCATCCAACCCTTAGACATCTAAACGAGCAAAGCGTTTTGATCTGTTGTACTGTGGCCTCGAACAGCGCGTATCGCTATTCCAGGTCTTGGATTTTTGCCTGAAATGACGAAGGTCTTCTTCATGCTCCGGGTGCAACATTTGTTTGTAGGCAATCGGGATGCACATATCGGAATGATCTTGGAAGAAGTTTTTGTAGCCCCCTTCGAGCAGATAGATTTCTGGGAATGTAAGAGCTGGATATTCTTGCATGTTCTTTTGGCGATCTTGTTTGCGGATATATCTGTATCTGTAATAAAAGATATATTTAATATAAGGCTTACAGGAAAATGAACATTGCTGGTGTTCCGCAAGAGCAATACTTACAGGTTAGGGCCACGTTCACTGCTGAACTCGCAATGGAAGACCAAGATGTGACGTTTGTTGGCATGTTGTTCGGAAACTTTGTTTTGCTCCAACAACTCCAAGCATTGCTCCTTGGTGTAGACGTTTAAAGCACCGGCGATATGACCTCCATCAAATTCGTATGGATATCTACAGTCGATGACTTTGTATGAAGCCACACTGTGATCGTATTCCCCGTTGATTAATCCAGCCAAAGTTGATGGTGTTATAGCTTTCAAATCTTGATGGCGACCATCAGTAAGTGGTAAACAGAAACTCTTGCTGAAATCGCCGATCAAATCGTTCGATACGGCTGATCTTTGTACGGCTGACATGATGCTTTCTTCAGTGGCGGAGAAATGCCTTTGTAATGTGGGTCTGGTGGGTACAACTGGTACATTGCCATCATCTTCATCGAAGATTTTGGATTTTTTGATGATGTTGAATTCGCCGGCAGTTGGTGGTTCGGGTCTTTTAAACGAGCGGACCTCTAGGTTCTCCTTGAACAAGCACGAACGCACTCTGCTGCTGTTTGGAGTAATTTTGGTGGTGGTGGTGGTTGGGTTGTAAAGTGATAGAGCACGACGGAATAAAGGCCTGATGACGGATTCTTGCTTGTTCTCGGTCAATTTTGGTCTGTCGATCAGTGGGCCGTCAATCAATTTGGCGAAGTCAGTTGGGAGGTTGTTCTCCTGGTTTCCCAAAGGCTGTACGTCAGAGAAATCCTCGAGGGATTCATCCTCCATTGAGGAGCCAAACGATTGAAAGGAACCGCGGCTTTGTGAAGCGTATGTCATGAATTTGGCATATTCGCTCTGGAAACTAGCGCTGTATCCAGAATCTTGAGAGTTAGAATCGTGATCTTCAGATGGTCTGCGTATGAAACTATGCGTGCACTGAGATGGCGATTCGCAATGGGTTACCATAGGGCTGTTAGATTCGTACATTGATAGATCGTTCATTTTGGATGGTGAGTCTTTTTCAATCGAGTTAAATCTGTAAAAACATTGGGATTTAGCATTGATTTATTGTGTTGCAAGTATAAGTGGATGTCCACAGAATATATCATCCAGACTTATACGTCAGAAACTTGTTTATTTCGCGCCAAATGAACTTATTAGAATTCAACCGGCTTTTACTTCAAGAGTCATGTTGTTATGTAGAAAATGTATTTACCTGGTGTTAAAACAAAGTTCGCAGGAGTTTTCTGTAATAGAATCCCACATATCGCACTTGATAATATCCTATAAGAGAGCAGTCAGTTCATATGCACAGACACTGTTCGGGGTTTTATGTGTAAGCGAGTAGTGAAGCGGTGTGCACGAAGCAAACTTTGAGCGAATACTGACTAACAACAAGCGGCGTTCGGTTAATAAAGGAGCACCAAGACCGGCTAGACTGGAGGGGGGTTTACTCACTGAACCAACCCCAAAATGCAATCGGCTGCATAAGGGCGGCAAACACATTTCCACCCCACACTGTTATGGTTTACGTGCTTTCATATTTTCTTCAAAGTTTAATTTTTCCTTCAGATAAGTAATGTTTTTTTTAATTTACTGCTTAATTAATGTAATTTTTATTATGAAAATTTAATTCATTCCATTTCATTTTAAATAGTACAATTTATTTAAATAAATGATTTGTCTTTTTTCTACTTTTTTCGGTATATAAATATAAATTGCAAATTTAAGAAAAAATAACTTAAACGTAATCAATTTTTAGCTAAAAATACATGTATATTTTAACTTCTGGGTTCAGATAGTAGTGCTGTTATTTTTTATATGCGTTATCTTTTATAGTTATATAAAAATAAATTGAGAGGCAAATTCTTACAATTTAACTTAATACAGGCAGCTGACCCTATTGATAAGACGCGTATTTGCAAAAGCTGCACATTTTACTTAAAAAAAATGTTCACATGGGGAGATAATATATGGAACAATCCTTTCTTGCATCCGCTGTAATTTTCGATAATAATTATAATAATATAGTTTTTTTTTTAAGAAAATACTGAGCAGTTAAATATTCGTGAGAATTTCGGCAAAATGTATTGAAAACATAAAACATATACTGCAATTATGTAAATGTATGTTACATATAGTAAAACTTAATTAGATACATATATCGATTTTTTATTATTATTGGCAAACTGTTTTTTATCAAAAGTTAATATTTGTTTTTGTTGAAATAATAGTTGTTTAATAAAGCCGAACAAATAGGAAATATGTGTAAAAATATAAGAATATTTCCTTGTACTTGGTAATAAAATAAAATGTTTAATATATTTATCTGTAATGTTTTATCAACAACTAAACTATTTCCCGTGTTTTAAGATTATAACAATAAATAATTATCTTAAAATTAAAAATTATTTTTTAATAAGTGATATTATTTTAGTCATTTCACGTCTTAATCCCTTTTGATTTCAATAAGGTAATTAGTGGTTTCGTCAACAAGTTACAAAGGTAAAGATTTTGAAGTAATTATTACTAAAAGGTAGTGAATTCGTGGAAAAATATCCAGTACCTATTTCATGTAAAGGATAATAAAACATTTCCAAACTTTTAACATTTAGGTTTGACATTAAACGAAAATAATAACTATCAAAGCGACCAAAAGAATAACGTAATAAAACCAAATTAAATACAACATATTTACGAAAAATAACGTTAAAATTACTAATCTTTTTCTAAACCTTACCTTAAAGTAGGTAATAAAGTTTACCATGAAGTAAATTTAATAAATTTAACTTAGCTATTGACAAAACTATAGGTATATTTAGCATTAAGACTCGAAAATGCATACCTTTGATACAAATAATCTATGCTCTTTAAATATTCTAGTGTTTAAAATACATATATGTATACATATGTATATATGACTTACGTACAAAATAGATAAATCTAAAAAAATTGTTTACTTTATTGAGAGTTTTAAAGGTTAATTTAACAACATATTTACTTAAATTAAGTTTGGGAGTTGAAATACGTTAAAAATCACAAACCGAAACACCTACTTTAAAAAAATTACCCTTATAATTTCAATTCAACCCCCTTCAGCACGTGCTATTTCTTAAACGTACGAAACCCTTTCTTTAGCTTATACCTATGCATTTTTACTTCGACTTGCGCTAGGATAGATAATGGTTAACATAAAATAAGGGAGAGATCCTTAGAGCAAAAAGAATGAATCTTTTCTTATTCAAAATCATTTTATCTTGGCGCATCTTTATACTGGTATTTTTGGTAAGGTCAGCTTTTTAATTTTAGTTTGTCTTAAAAAATTATTATTAAAAAACATACTTGAATAAAAGTGCGGATACCTGTGTTAATGTTTTTACGACACCAAAGAGAAATTATTATTTATATTTCTTCAAACTTAAAGAGGGTAACAAACTTATTTGCCTGGACGTTACATCCCTTTGGCAAAACCAGTCTTTTTTTACCCTTATCAGCTGGTATAAACGATTTGGGATCAAATGTTTAAAAGGGGAAAACGTTATTAATGCAAAACCCATAAAAAACTAATTATTTTCTAATAACTTCTGATAACATAAATTCTGAAGACCGTTTGTGATGATTTTCTGTATTGTTGCTTGTCACTTGTCATTGTGAGTGGATCACTAAAATTTTAATAAAACTTAAACACCATTCTCTGCTAGCTGTGTCTTCTAAACTATCCCGTGGTTCGACTACAATGCCGGTCATTTTCTTTTCTAATTTTAAAAACGTCAGCCCTAAGAGAAATGCGTTGCTCAAAAATCATGGAAACAAACCTTGAAATTTGAATATTCTTTCAGTCTATCTCTCTTAGTGTTTCTATGGAGTTTATGTACCTTCTTCGCCGCAGGGTGTATTATCCTCTAATACTTTTTAACTTTACAGATGAACGCTTACAAAATTAGGAGTTAATCTTTCTTAGGACTTAAGAAACCGCTAAGATACACCAATCATATTTTTATGACAGTTTATATTGGTTTCTATGTATTTCTACTCTACTGGACTACATATCCATAGCACTTTTTAGCATCCAAATGTTTTTACATAATATTACCGTTTTTTGTTAAAAAGGGTCATATATTAGTTATTTTAGCACCTAGGAAAAAAGAAAACTTTTTATTTAAATGTTGTTAAATGTCCAGCATGCTATGTTATATATCAAGGGTCTAAAATCAAACCCAGCAAAGTCTATTTGAGTAACATTTTCAGAAATTAAAAAATACGCTATAAAAATAATAATTTATACACGGGCGAATCTCACGAAATGTCCCCCGATGGTGTTACTCCGTGATATTTAATAAAACTAAATGAGTTTGACCTACACTTTTATTTTGTTTTGATCTTTCATAATTAAGTAGATATTACAGCTCAGGTTCCAGATTTTTAACCGCAATTAATTATTTTTTACAATGTTTTAAAAGTCTAAAACCTATCCTCCGTGACTGTTACTCTTTCTAGGTTATCCTATATGTTTTCAAATATCCGATGTAGTAAAAGCATACTAAAAATATCAGTTCAATAAGTAAATTAAACACATCCAAAGCAATCGAATCAAATATAAAATATATTAAAAATTAAAAGAAATAATTTTTATAACCATTTATGTAGTGTGTTGCAAAAATTGATTCTATCCTCCGTGAATATGTTTTTGCAACGGATGGCGCTTTAATCATTTTAAATAGGCAAAAACCTCTGTTTACGACATCATAGATGCATGTGATTCCTGAAGGTCAGTTAGAATTTATATGCAGATGAGAGTGTTGCTGTTTTATAATTCAAAAGTTTAAGTTCATTAATTTGCTATTTAAAAACCTATCCACCGTGAAGTGTAATATCTCAGTAAGTAGATTTTTTTATAAATATTTTATGTATGTACAGGGTGATCCCCTATAATGTTGCCCCCCTTTAACTTTTTTATTTTAAGGGTCCCAAAAAATTTAAAAGTTTCGTTATGTAGGTACTAAAAATTTCTTTTTTCTACGTATAAAGAAAATTGGAAAATTGATCAGTATACAGGGAAAAACAAAAAGTTAATTTTTTTCAATGGATCACCCTATATATGTATTTATTTTTCGATTCCTTGTAAAATTTTAAGCATATATCATATAGGTAACATACCATATACCTAAATTTAACCGTTTCTGAAATATTTAAATTATTTTTTATATAATAAGTTGAAATAGTTTGTCTTTCTCTGTCTGAGCACGTCATTTTTACTTATTTAACAAGACATAATGTCACTATAGTACCTAATTTATTTTCAATAAAAATTTTGGTATACTAAGGCTTCTTGATTTCTAACAGTTTAAAAAAACATTTAATGATAACATTTCGAATGCGAATATTTCAGAAACAGTTGAATTTAGGTATATGGATTGTTGTATGAATTATGCTCAAAATTTTACATGGAATCGAAAAATAAATTCATATATAGGGTGATCCATTGAAAAAAAATAAACTTTTTGTTTTTCTCTGTATACTGATCAATTTTCCAATTTTCTTTATATATAAAGAAAATTGGAAAATTGATCAGTACAATATCAGTAAAATACTTTTTTTCTACCTATAGGTTGAAAAAAAGTATTTTTTAGTTCCTACATAACAAAACTTTTAAATTTTTTGGGACACTTAAAATAAAAAAGTTAAAGGGGGGCTACATTATAGGGGATCACTCTGTACAATTGTATTTTTAAAAAATATTAAGATGTCAAAAGATACAATAACTTATTCCAAATATACAAAGGGATGTTTAAAAAAATACCTAATCCTAACCTCCTTGAAGCTATCTTCCGTGAAGTTCTAATATTCAAAATGTATGATTTCTTAAAATTCTTGCATCAGTGCAGAACCACTTATGTTATGTTATTATTAATAACTTATTACTAGACCTGGTGGATTCCAAAAAAACCCATTCTAGACTAACAGTGAAACAACCAAAAATAAAAAATAATCATTTTCACTTGGGGGACATCTCAATATATTCACCCACGCATTATTGTTTCTGTTTTTTACCGGTTTAAAAAAAAACGAATAAAACTTTTTTTATGTTTTTTTATTATATATTTATTTATATTATGTCAAAGGGGAAACTTTAAAATATGGATTAAAAGAAAACTGTTTGATTAAATTAAAAGATGTATGATATTAAAAATAGTTGACTAAAATCCCGCGAAAAATGGTTATTTGTTTGCTGGAAATGATCGTTTTTCTGTCATATCCCTTATTAAAACGAATTTCATTGTTGCATATAGACACATTGTGTTTCTTACAATAATCTTTAGCTCGTGCTCGGAGTTCCCCTTCGTAGCGAGATTTGGCAAATCTTGTACGTTA